AACTGAAGAAGAAGATGATGAAAAAGAGATGAGTTGTATGGATGTAGAAACACTGGGAGAGGTAAACCAGAAGCTGTATGAATATTCAAATTGCTAGAGAACTGAACTTGAACATTACAGAAAATATGGTAAAGAATTTTAAAGATGGCTGAAAAGGCCTTCATGTTGGAAGAAGTAGAAATGAATGTAGATAAGACATGAACACATTACACAAATATATTCAATTTAAAATTTGCTACAACTTTCAAACTGAGTTTTTACACAAGTAAAACCAAAAGAAAGAAAAAAAGAATATATTTTTGTCAATCATTTAACATTTTGTGAGCAATGAAATGATTAATCATAAAACATAAAAAAAAATAATTAAAAAAAAAAAACCATCAAAACATAAACACATAAAGAAACAATGTTCCATAGTGCCTTAAATCAAATTATAATCAATTTGTTTGTGAACAGGTTTTGGAAGCAGAAATCTTTACATGGGTAACCAATCTGTCTCTTAAGCTAGAGGTTTTAAGATTGTAGTTGCTGTGATTGTTGATGGACAAAGGTATCACATTTTCAATTGTTTCTAATATTGTTTAGCCCAATCATTAAAGGCTCTTCACACGGTGGTTAGACTGAGGCTAACACCCCATTATTTAATGGATTCAAACTCCAGCTGCCCTGTACCCACATTCACCTCTTTTCTTGTGTTTTCGGATTACTAAGCCTTAACAAAAGTTGGCTCATAAAATTTGTTATGGCCCATTAAGCCGAGTCCTGTGTTGTGGGCTTTAAAAACAGACCTTGAAATTTGATTTCAAAGTCTGATGCAGGACTGTTATGCATGTTTTTAAGGGTTTAGATTAGCTTAAGACTAAGTTTGCACTTCTGAAAAACCTTTATTATACCTATACATTAAAAAAATATATGAAAATGGTGACTTGAGAGTTATAAAAAAAATTGTTACTACAATCGGTCAGCAGTATCACAACTCAAATGTGAAACACATAAAGTATAGAATGGAACATGAGGAATAGTATGCAAAAATACAGTTTACTGTACAGTGTAGTACAGAAGTATTATACAGAAGTTAAAATAAAAAAAAATTAAATTAAATTTGTATTAAAATTTAAAATAATGTGAAGGGTAAGGTAAAGAATGCAAATGCAAATAATGCAAAGTTATCCAGGCTTGTGGAAATATACATGCAAAGTAAGGTGGAAGGCTTATGAATTAAATATGGCATTATAGTATTTTTTAAAGCTAACTGCAGTGAAATGTGGGCCCTCTCATGTAAAAAAAAAGAAAATTATAGAATAATTAATAATTATTATAAGTAAAATTAGATGATAAGTTATGATCTGTAATAATAATAAATTATTATGATAAGTAATAATTAAATGAAACTTAAAACAAAATCTAAAATGATCAGATTAAAAAGTAGATTTGAGAACTTGAAATAAATTGATGTAATGTATCAGTCCACCTTACCACCAAAAGGCTTTTCACAGTAGACCAAGGCTTATACTGTCATCAGCTCATTGTAGTGGACTGACAATCTGGTCAGCATTTTTGTTTGCAAAAATAACTCCACAGTTTACTGTACAGTGTAGTACAGAAGTATTTTACAGAAATTAAAATATATTTTTTTAATTAAATCTAAATTTTAAATTTTAAATAATGTGGAGGGTAAGGTAAAGAATGCAAATGCAAAAGATGCAAAGTCATCCAGGCTTGCGGAAGTATACAGACAAAGTAAGATGAAAGGTTAATAACTTAAATATGGCACTGAAGTATTTTTTATAGCATGTATTGGTCCACCTTACCACCCAAAAGTCTTTTCACAGTAGTTAGACCAAGGCTAATACTGTCATCAGCTCATTGTAGTGGACTGACAATCTGGTCAGCATTTTAGATCCCAGTGTTTTCTTATCCAAACATTCACACTACTCGGTCTTACTGAAATGCTGGTTTGTCTTCAAGTTGATAGTTTCTTTTTAAAAAAGTTATCTACTATGGAGAATTACATTTTAAGGATAAGCATAAAAACTTTGTTCCTCTATGAAATCACTTCACACAGCTCATTTAACCAAGTGACGACAACCTTCAGCAGGGATTGTTTCACACTGTAATGCTGGGATCACTGCTGTCCAAAACATTAGCCCAAGACTAAGCACACGTGAAAAACCTGCAGTGTACCTACCAGCTGAAACCCAAAGTACATCATTTATTTCTAAAAACACGTCTTCTCTTGTAGGTAAATTTGAGGGATATGGTGAGCATATTAAAACGAGAAATTCAGCTGCCTGCAGCAACTGAACTGGTATTTTTTCCCTTCATTAGTGTTGGTCATCTTTTGATATAAGGACAGATACACAGTAAAAGGGAAAGAAAATACTAAAATAAAATAGAACAAATAAAGTCCAAGAAACATAAAGGAAACTTAAAATATTAACAGATATGGACAACCAATCACTTAATGTAGAAAACAGGATTCAAAACAATATAAGAGTAATAGTTGTCCTGTCCTGACAATCAGTCAGTTCCTCAAGTGAGTACTGTGTTCTGTCTGGGCACTTTCGTTCAAAACAAAAAGCAGAGGCCGGTACAGTTCAGAGTGAAGGTTGAGAGTGAGGTAATGTTTTGACCTTTGACCTGTGGTTGTAGAATCGCTGTGTGCAGTTATCAGTGTTCGAGTTGACAGCATCACTGGAGTCAGAGGCAGGAGGAGGAGAGGTCTGAAAAAAAAAAAAAAAAATCCCTTCACTTTAACTGTAATCAATACAAAAATCCTGTGTTAACAGTAATACTGTGCTTTTCTATGTTGGTCAAACATGGTTATTGTTATGGGGCAAGGAAATACACCATTACCTCAGGGAAAGTTTAAAGCTGCAGTAAAGTCCATGATCTCAAGTGAGTCCAGATTGGACAGGAATGATGGAACACTGTAGTCTGGAGGTCTGTACACAGCTGCAATCAGAGCACTTACAGGAGATTCAACCTTCAAAGCCACAAACTCAAGGTCAGTCACATTATTCAGGTACTGTTTCTCCGCAACCTGCAAATGGTTTTTCACATAAACAGCGACTCCACCAGTGGCAGCTGCTGGTCTTTCAAGGAGGGGAAGCTCATTTTTCTGGCCTACATCATAATTGTGTTTGTTTATTTGTATGTAACAGAACAGAGTCGCCAAACACAACGGCAATCGTTTTTAACAAAGACAAAAGACGCTGAGGATCGGTAAAGTCTCCGGAGCAGTTAAGAACAACGGAATGAATAACTTGGAAAATGCTCTAGAAGATGTTTTATTCTTCAAGATCGCTGATTCGCTTATTTAGCTGTCAATCAAAAAAGGATTTCGCCTCAGACAGCACATCCAATCATGGATGCAGAAGCTCAGCGTCCACGAGAAAGTTGGGACCGCCCTCTCGTCATAGAACTCCATAGACGCTGAGCGTCCGATGGGCGGGACAAAGCCCAGCATTTATCCAATGAGCGTCTAGTTTCGCTGCTGGAACAACCCACTTTGAGCTTCCACATTGAAGTCAGCAGATGCTGAGCGTCTGGCTGTGTGAAGCGCCGAGGCGCTGCGAGGATGAATGAGAACGAAGTTATGCCGGTTACCTGTGATTATCAGCTTCTTATCACAGTGTGATAAGAAGCTGATTATGAACAAAAGATGAAGGCTTTCTAGCGCGTATTTAGTTAATGAAATGAACACACAGCAGTACGTATTTCACCACTTTTTCTTTTTTTGGGGGGGTGACATTTTAATGGAAGCTGAGCTTCCCTTGCAGTCTTAGAGCAATCGCCACTGGACTCCACCACCTCCTTTACTGGCCATCTGTGGAAAGTTAGTGTAGCACAAATGTCTGTTGCGTTTGAACATGGTGTAGCCCTCAAACTGGAGACTGTCTGCCACAAAGGACCCCTGTAGGTGAGTTTCTGTCAGACACAAAACATCTGCAAGACACAGTTCATGATGGCTTTTGATGTCATTCACATGAGCAGGTAATCCTTCGGTGTTGTGATGAATGATGCTCACAGTGGCCTGTCTGCTAAGAGAATGCTGGATATGGAGAAAAGGCATGAGGTGATCAAAGTTAGCTTGCGCCATGGTCTCCAAAGATACAGTGACTGCAGGGTTAGCATGAATTTTACTCTCATCCGAATCAAACATGTGCAGTCCGCCGAGAGAGGTCACTCGACTGATAGCTACGTAGGCCATGCCGAGCTCAAAAATGTGCTTCAGAGAAACAACAGCAGATTTTCTGGTCATACCTTGAACCTTGTGTATCGTGCATGCAAAGGCAAGTTTCACAGGAAACTGTCTGCGTACCACTCCTTTCTGATGCAGAGCCTCCTCAGATCTCTCGATGTACACAAGATTGTCTCCTCAAGTACGATAGCTCCTGCCAGCTGTTTCATCATCCATCCTGAGACCAAGCATAGTGACAAGAGTAGAACTGTTGTTGTCAGAGCTTATGAGATGGCCTACTGTAGCAAATGATCCGTTTACCAATCCTTGAGACACATCAGTGTTTCTGATGAGCATGACTCTAGCACCTACTGCAACATCTAGTGTGTCAGGTAGATCATTTCTGCTTCCATGACATGGTGCACCTTGTCTTTTCATGTGTCCAGTGTGTGGGTCCTTTTTAAAGTCATCTGCATCAATGGTGGTGATATCAGAATGGAGCAGAGATAGTGTAGCAGAGTTGTGTGCTGCGACTTGTTCGTTTGTAGCAAAAATGTGCAGGACATCAGAGGGACACAGTTGTGGTTCAGTGACACGCTGTGACAGCAGAGCTCTGTCAGCCTCAGAAATCTTATCTGACCTTTCATCAATGATAATGATTTCAGCATTTAAAAGCTCACACCTGATTTAATCAAGTTGGTTCCCAAGACCTTGAAAAGGAGGTTTCAAACTTCTGGGCAGCTTGAGAAGAGAGTGCAGTGTTGTTTCAGAGATGTTAAAGGCTGCAGTTCCAGTGAAAGCAGTCAACAGTACAGTCGGGTTTGAGATGTCAGCTTCCTCTACACGTCTAGGTAGAGTTCTCAGTATCTTTGATGCTTCTGAATGAATGCATTTAATGAGGTGATTTTCCAGTGCCAGCACCACCATTTATGTAGTAGAAAAACTGCTCTGGTTGTAGTCCACAGACTCGTTTTATGCACCAGTCTCTCACTGCATAGAACACACATGCCTGCTTCTGGTTCAGACTCTGATACATTTGTCGTAACCGTGTGGGATTGATTGTAGGGGGCTCTCTCATGACTCTGGCCTCTGTAGCAGCATTAGCTTGTCTGCTGTATTCCGGTACATCCTGTTGGACATTTTCACACTGTCAGGCATCCAGTTCATCGATACACTCCAACTTCACCAGTTCAGATTCAGGTGCCAAATTACACCATTCATCGACCACACCTCTGTTCTGTTCAAAGTCCTCGAGAGCAGAGTCAATTTCCTCACCGTTTTTTTCATATCTCTCTCTGTTTCTTTTCACAATGAGTTTCACACGCAGGGGTTGGTCAGAATACGGCAGCTGAACCACACCTCTCTTATAGAATGACTCATACGTGGGAAGATATGGTCTTTTCAGCTCATCGTCTGATCTGTATGGAAGATACAGTATATGCAATGTGCCGTAAAACTGCTCAGGGTATTTCTCTTTCGATATGCGGCGATACCTGATGACAGCAGCGTTGTCACTTTCTCGTCTCTGTATAAAGCCTAGTTCATTCAGCAAGGGTACACTTTCTTGCCCTTGGTCTGTTGTCCATACACCAGTCTGCAGGTAGATGTAAAATCAGCCATGTACATCTCTTCAAACTCTGGTGTTTCAGGTCTGGATTTGTATTTGTCTGTTAAGGATGTCATCCACACATTCAAGCTGTCTGGTGTAGTGTTGTCAAGGCTTGACACAGGCAGACTCATTTTCACTGGGTTGTCATCAGTTGGGACAAAAACCACACTGCGTGTACTCTTTTTCATGTTCAGTGAAGTCACTCAGGCAACAGCTTCTTGTGCTGATACTTCTCGCTTTTTGGAATACGCCTGCATGACCACTTTCATTTCATCACATTCATTGACTCAGACAAAACTGAAGTTCTGGTCCTCGGTCCTAAACACCTTAGAGAGGCATTCTCTAGTAATTTAGCTACATTTGATGGTATCAGCCTGGCATCCAGCCCCACTGTGCGAAATCTAGGAGTTGTATTTGATCAGGATTTATCTTTTAGCTCCCACATTCAAAAAAATTTCCAGGACAGCCTTTTTCCACCTGCGCAATATCTCAAAAATTAGACGCATATTGTCTCAGAGCGATGCAGAAAAACTAGTCCATGCCTTTGTAACCTCTAGGCTGGATTACTGTAATTCTCTCCTGTCAGGCTGCTCTAGTAAGTCATTAAGGACTCTTCAGCTGGTCCAAAATGCAGCAGCTCGGGTATTGACTAGAACTAGAAGAAGGGAGCACATCTCTCCTGTTTTAGCCTCTCTTCACTGGCTCCCTATTAAATATAGAATTGAGTTTAAAATCCTCCTTGTGACATATAAAGCGCTTAATGGCCAGGCTCCATCATATTTCGACGAGCTAGTTATACCGTACTTTCCATCTAGACCGTTACGCTCACAGTCTGCAGGTTTGCTCGTTGTACCAAATGTCTCTAAAAGTAGTATTGGAGGAAGAGCTTTCAGCTACCAGGCACCTCTTCTCTGGAATCATTTACCGCTCGAGGTTCGGGGGGCAGACACACTCTCAACTTTCAAGAGTAGACTTAAAATGTTCCTCTTTGATAAAGCCTATAGTCAGGGCTGATTTGAACCAGCTCTTAGTTATGCTCCTATAGGCCTAGACTGCCGGGGCTATCTGGCACACTGAGCTAGAGTCTGTCTCTATCTCCTATCTTTATGTCCCATATAAGTCACTGACCAGTTTTCTGTCTCTCTGAGTGTGTCTCTGAGTCTTTTAGCTGCCGCTGGACTAATGCTGCAAACGGTCTGCTGTGGAACTGCCTGACCCCAGCTGCATCCACCCCGGCTCTTTGGCTCTTTGGCTCCTCTGGACCGTTGCTGCAGACCATTAATAATACAAAATAGAACTGACTACGATTAAGCCTGCTAACTGTAATCACACTCAATTAATTCAACATTGTCCATTAGCACTCATATCCTAACCCTGTAAACTGAACTCATTTTGTTTCACCATTACATGAGCTGTTGTTGTTGCTGTTGTTCCTGCTGCCTCCTGTCTCTCTCTCACCCTCGTTCCTTACTCTCTCTCCCTCCCCCTCCCTCTCCGTACTCATTCTCTCTCGCCTTTCCCCTATCTTGTTGTCTCTCTCCCTCCCCCTGTCCTCTCCCCCTCTCCCCTCTTCTCTCTACATTCCTCCCCAACCCAGCAGCGGCATGGTGGCTGTCTAGCATGAGGCTGGTCCTGCCCAAGGTTTCTGCCTGTTAAAAGGAAGTTTTTCCTTGCCACTGTAACTCATGTTAGTTGAGATGGGCCAAAACCCATCTTAGGTTGGTTCTTGATCATCAAACAATGAGCATGGTCCAGACCTGCTCTTGTTCCTTGAAAAGCGTCTTGAGATGACGACTGTTGTGAATTGGCGCTATATAAATAAAATTTGATTGATTTGATTGATTGATTGACACATTCTCTCTCAGAGTTCTGAATGAGTGTTTGCAGATACTGGCTCACAGAGTTCTCACTTTTACACATGTACGTACATATGTAATGGATTAGACTGTAGTAGCTGAGAATGAACTGCACATCAATGTTTGCATCCCAGGCCTTGAGCAGGTGAGGGTTGTAGGTGTTTACCCAGCAGTCTTTTGGCTCACGCTTCCGAAGGATGTTGCTTGACCGACTCATCAAATGCATGTGTTTCTCGTACTCATCAGCGGTTAAGTCACAGACAGACAGGAGCTGTTGAAAACTCAGGGATTCAGTTTGTGTCTCATTCAGCAGCTGATTCAGTGGTGCAAGTTTCTCTTTGGCTCTCTTAAGTCTCTCTGACTCCTCATCATCATCCACAGGTCTTGTTATCATTGTCCGTCTGGAGGGTGGTTTTGGGAATCCAAAACGGCATCCTGAACTTGCACTTTTGAAACATGTCTTTGAGTGCTTCTTACTGTGTATTTGCACTTCTTTGACCTTTTTGTACAGTTCAGGCTGTTTATTTGGGTCAGGGAGCTGAGCAGAGATGTGTTTGGACACAAAGTCACACACAGTTTTGTCAGAGTCTCTCTCAAACACAGGTGCACCTTCTACCCACAAAAGACCATGTATATGAGGACTTCCTCTGTGCTGAAACTCGAGACGCCAAAAGAAGTCATAAACTTTGCCCAGGGGTTGTGCAGGAGACATGATCAGATCTCTGTACAGTGCTTCAACACACTTATCAAACATGCGCAGGATTGCTTCTCAGAATGTCACACTTTGAATGTCACCTCCTCACCTTGTTGTGATTTTATTGCAATAATCACCTCAGGCCAAAGCATTTCTGCTGCAGAAAATGTGACAAAGAAAGTAGGACTGCCCAACTGCCTGATCATAGCAAACAGATCTTTTGTAGTTTTGTCCTAGTAGGCTGGTGTTCCCTTGAGTGGCTGCATAAATCTGATAGCATCTCTGTTTCTCACCAGTCTCTCCACTTCATATTTGTCTCTCAAAATTCTGAATGTTTTTTTACGTCCGTCTCTGGTCAAAGGTTTGCCTTTGTGTAACTGTATGGACATGCTGGAGGTAGCCAAGTGTATCTCTGTCACAAACTGTGCAAAGAACAGGTAGTTGGTATCTCTGGTAAAGCGATCATCAACACCAAAGAGCCTTGCTTTAAAATAACTACTGGGTGATAATTTCATGGGTCTGTTTTCATCCAGTGTATTCTCGCGAGTCACTGAAACACAATATTTCCTCAAAAACATCACGTGGCTGAAGGCAGGACTCCAAAACAACACCACCATTAGATATGTCTGCATCCTGTTGTTGTGTCTGATCATCATTGTCCTGGGTCTGACTTTTATCACACAGCTCTGTGTGTTTTTTTTGGTATAATTAACTCTAAAAGATCTGAAACATGTTCCTAAAAAGGTCTTAGACAGTGATTTTAACCCTAACCCCAAAAACCTTAAACCTTACCCTAGCCCCGTAAACCAATACCTGGGTATTACCTAAAGTAAGCCTTAACACCCCAAACATTTTTTTTTCATTTTTTTTTTGGTCTAACTAACTCCAAAAGATCTGAAACATGTTCCTAAAAAGGTTTTGGACAGTGATTTTAAGCCTGAACATTTTTTTTTCATTTTTTGTTTTTTTTGGGTCTAATGAATTGCAAAAGGTTTGAAACATGTTCCCCAAAGGTTGTTGGACAGTGATTTTAACCCTAAATACATATCCCTAACCTCAGCCCTGTTACCCAATATCCAGGTGTTACTTAAAGGAAGCCCTAACATTAAAAAAAATGACATTTTTCTTTTTTTTTCTAATGAACTCCAAAAGGTTTGCAACATGTTCCTGAATAGTTCTTGGACAGTTTGTTTTAACCCTAATACCAAAACCCGAAACCCAACACCTAAAAATACCTAAAAAAATAGCCCTTACAACCCCAATTTTTTTTTTTTGACATTTTTCGTTTTTCTTTTTGGTATAATTAACTCCAAAAGGTCTGAAACATGTTCTTAAAAAGGTCTTGGACAATGATTTTAACCCTAACCCCAAAAACCTTAAAAGGGTATTGGACAGTGATATTAATCCAGTGTTGTTTTCGTCAACCATGACGTTGACGAAAATATTTTTGTCAACGTCATCGTCAAAGAAAACAAAACTCCACGTATGTGCGCGCGTGTGTGTGTGTCTGTGTGTTGGAGGAACACAGCAGGCTGATGAGAGCTGTCAGAGCGGATTTTTTGGTCTAATGAACTCAAAAGGTCTGAAACATGATCCTCAAAGGTTTTTGGACAGTGATATGAACCCTTATCCAGAAACCCTAACCCTCACCCTAGCCCCTTAACCAAATTCCTGGGTATTACCATTAAAAAGGCCCTAACAACGCCCAAAATATTTTTTTTGACATTTTTCTTTTTTTTTCTCGGTATAATTCACTCCAAAAGATCTGAAACATGTTCCTAAAAAGGTCTTGGACAGTGATTTTAAGCCTAACCCAAAAAACCTTAAACCTTACCCTAGCCCTGTAACCCAATACTAACCAAATACTTCCTTTAGTATTACCTAAAGGAAGCCCTAACACCCCAAACAATTATTTTTTAATTTTTTTTTTTTTTTGTTGTTGGTCTAATTCACTCCAAAAGGTTTAAAACATGTTCCTCAAAGGTTTTGGACAGTGATATTAATCCTGACCCCAAAAACCTTAAACCTTACCCAAGTCCTGAAACCCAATACCCAGGTATTATCTAAAGGAAGCCCTAACACCCAAACATTTTGTTCTTATTTTTCAATTTATTTTGGTCTAATTCACTCCAAAAAGGTTGAAACAGGTCTTGGTCTAAAAAGGTCTTGGACAGTGATTTTAAGCCTAACCCCCAAAACCCTAAACCTTACCCTAGCCCCATAATCCAATGCCTGGGTCTTACCTTAAGGAAGCCCTAACACCCCAAACATTTTTTTTCATTTTTGCTTTGTTTATGATCTAATTAACATTTTTCAGTTTTTTTGGTCTAACTCGAAAACTCTGAAAAATGCTCCTGAAAGGATCCTTAACAGTGATTTTACCCTAATCCGAACCCTAGCCCCGTAACCCAATACCCAGTTCTTACTTTAAAAAAGCCCTAACAACCCCCAAATTTTTTTTTTACATTTTGCATTTTTCTTGGTATAATTACCTCCAAAAGGTCTGAAACATGTTCATAAAAAGGTCTTGGACAATGATTTAAACCCTTACCCCAAAAACCTTAAACCTTACCCTAGCCCCGTAACCCAATACCCGAGTATTACCTAAAGGAAGCCCTAATACCCCAAACATTTTTTTTTTCATTTTTCCTTTGTTTATGGTCTAACTAACTCCAAAAGGTCTGAAACATGTTCCTATAAAGATCTTGCACAGTGATTTAACCCTAATCCCAAAACCCTAAACCGAACCGTAGCCCCGTTACCCAATACCCAGGTCTTACCCAAAAGCCCTAAAAACCCCAAATTCTTTTTTTGACATTTTTCTTTTTTTTTGGTCTAATTAACTCCAAAACGTCTGAAACGTTCCGAAAAAGGTCTTGGACAGTGATTTTAAGCCTAACCCCCAAAACCCTAAACCTTACCCTAGCCCCATAATCCAATGCCTGGGTCTTACCTTAAGGAAGCCCTAACACCCCAAACATTTTTTTTTCATTTTTGCTTTGTTTATGATCTAATTAACATTTTTCAGTTTTTTTGGTCTAACTCGAAAACTCTGAAAAATGCTCCTAAAGGATCCTTAACAGTGATTTTACCCTAATCCGAACCCTAGCTCCGTAACCCAATACCCAGTTCTTACTTTTAAAAAGCCCTAACAACCCCCAAATTTTTTTTTTACATTTTTCATTTTTCTTGGTATAATTACCTCCGAACGGTCTGAAACATGTTCCTAAAAAGGTTGGACAGTGATATTAACCCTAATCCCAAAACCCTACACCCAACCCTAGCTCCGTAACCCAATAACCGGGTATTATCTAAAGAAAGCCCTAACCAACCCCAAAAACTTTTTTTTTGACATTTTTCTTTTTTTTTTGTCTAATTAACTCCAAAAGGTCTGAAACATGTTCCTAAAAAGGTCTTGGACAGTGATTTTAACCCTAACCCCAAAAACCTTAAACCTTACCCTAGCCCCGTAACCCAATACCCAGGTATTACCTAAAGGTAGCCCTAACACCCCAAACATTTTTTTTTCATTTCACGTTTTTTTTTTTGGTCTAACTAACTCCAAAAGGTCTGAAACATGTTCCTAAAAAGGTCTTGGACAGTGATTTTACCCTAATCCGAACCCTAGCCCCGTAACCCAATACCCAGTTCTTACTTTAAAAAAGCCCTAACAACCCCCAAATTTTTTTTTTACATTTTTTTTTTTTGGTTGGTCTAATTACCTCCAAAAGGTCTGAAACATGTTCATAAAAAGGTCTTGGACAGTGATTTTAACCCTAACCCCAAAAACCTTAAACCTTACCCTAGCCCCGTAACCCAATACCCAGGTATTACCTGAAGGAAGCCCTAACACCCCAAACATTTTTTTTTTATTTTTCATTTTTTGTTTTCTAACTAACTCCAAAAGGTCTGAAACATGTTCCTAAAAAGGTCTTGGGAAATGATTTATACCCTAATCCCAACCCTGGCCCTGTAACCCAATACCCCGGTCTTACCTAAAGAAAGCCCTAACAATACCAAAAAAGTTTTGACATTTTTCTTGTTTTTTTGGTCTAACTAACTCCAAAAGGTCTGAAACACGTTCTGAAAAAGGTCTTGGAAAGTGATTTTAACCCTAACCCCAAAAAGCTTAAACCTTACCCTAGCCCCGTAACCCAATACTTCCTTTAGTATTACCTAAAGGAAGCCCTAACAACCCAAAACATTCTTTTTTTTCAATTTTTGTTTTTTTTTTGGTCTAACTAACTCCAAATTTCTGAATCTTGTCCCTAAAATGGTCTTGGACAGTGATTTTAACCCTAAACCCAAAAACCTTACCCTAGACCCGTGACCCAATACCCAGGTATTACCTAAAGGAAGCCCTAACACCCCAAACATTTTTTTTTCATTTTTCATTTTTTTTGGTCTAACTAACTCCAAAAGGTCTGAAACATGTTCCTAAAAAGGTGTTGGACAGTGATTTAACCCTAATCCCAAAACCCTAAACTTTACCCTAGTCCCATAACCCAATACCCAGGTATTAGCTAAAGGAAACCCTCACACCCCAAACATTTCTTTTTATTTTTCATTTTTTGTTTTCTAACTAACTCCAAAAGGTCTGAAACATGTTCCTAAAAAGGTTGGACAGTGATATTCACCCTAATCCCAAAACCCTACACCCAACCCTGGCCCTGTAACCCACTACCCAGGTCTTACCTAAAGAAAGCCCTAACAACCCCAAATTCTTTTTTTGACATTTTTCTTTTTTTTTGGTCTAATTAACTCCAAAACATCTGAAACGTTCCGAAAAAGGTCTTGGACAGTGATTTTAAGCCTAACCCCAAAAACCCTAAACCTTACCCTAGCCCCATAATCCAATGCCTGGGTCTTACCTTAAGGAAGCCCTAACACCCCAAACATTTTTTTTTCATTTTTGCTTTGTTTATGATCTAATTAACATTTTTCAGTTTTTTTGGTCTAACTCGAAAACTCTGAAAAATGCTCCTAAAAGGATCCTTAACAGTGATTTTACCCTAATCCGAACCCTAGCCCCGTAACCCAATACCCAGTTCTTACTTTAAAAAATCCCTTACAACCCCCAAATTTTTTTTTTACATTTTGCATTTTTTTTGGTATAATTACCTCCGAACGGTCTGAAACATGTTCCTAAAAAGGTCTTGGACAGTGATTTTAAGCTTAACCCCAAAAACCTTAAACCTTACCCTAGCCCCGTAACCCAATACCCAGGTATTACCTGAAGGAAGCCCTAACACCCCAAACATTTTTTTTTTATTTTTCATTTTTTGTTTTCTAACTAACTCCAAAAGGTCTGAAACATGTTCCTAAAAAGGTCTTGGGAAATGATTTATACCCTAATCCCAACCCTGGCCCTGTAACCCACTACCCAGGTCTTACCTAAAGAAAGCCCTAACAATACCAAAAAAGTTTTGACATTTTTCTTGTTTTTTTGGTCTAACTAACTCCAAAAGGTCTGAAACACGTTCTGAAAAAGGTCTTGGAAAGTGATTTTAACCCTAACCCCAAAAAGCTTAAACCTTACCCTAGCCCCGTAACCCAATACTTCCTTTAGTATTACCTAAAGGAAGCCCTAACAACCCAAAACATTTTTTTTTTCAATTTTTGTTTTTTTTTTGGTCTAACTAACTCCAAATTTCTGAATCTTGTCCCTAAAATGGTCTTGGACAGTGATTTTAACCCTAAACCCAAAAACCTTTAATCTTACCCTAGACCCGTGACCCAATACCCAGGTATTACCTAAAGGAAGCCCTAACACCCCAAACATTTTTTTTTCATTTTTCATTTTTTTTGGTCTAACTAACTCCAAAAGGTCTGAAACATGTTCCTAAAAAGGTGTTTGACAGTGATTTAACCTTAATCCTAAAACCCTAAACTGAACCCTAGTCCCATAACCCAATACCCAGGTATTACCTGAAGGAAACCCTAACACCCCAAACAATTTTTTTTATTTTTCATTTTTTGTGTTCTAACTAACTCCAAAAGGTCTGAAACATGTTCCTAAAAAGGTGTTGGACAGTGATTTAACCCTAATCCCAAAACCCTAAACCGAACCGTAGCCCCGTTACCCAATACCCAGTTCTTACTAAAAAGCCCTAACAACCCCAAACATTTTTTTTGACATTTTTCTTTTTTTTTGCTCTAATTAACTCAAAAACGTCTGAAACATGTTCCTAAAAAGGTCTTGGACAGTGATTTTAAGCTTAACCCCAAAAACCTTAAACCTTGCCCTAGCCCCGTAACCCAATACTTCCGTTAGTATTACCTAAAGGAAGCCCTAACAACCCAAAACATTTTTTTCTAATTTTTAATTTTTTTGGTCTAACTAACTCAAAAAGGTCTGAATCACGTTCCTAAAAAGGTCTTGGAAAGTAATTTTAACCCTAACACCAAAAAGCTTAAACCTTAGCCTAGCCCCGTAACCCAATACTTCCTTTAGTATTACCTAAAGGAAGCCCTAACAACCCTAAACATTTTTTTTTTCAATTTTTGTTTTTTTTTGGTCTAACTCCAAATTTCTGAATCTTGTCCCTAAAATGGTCTTGGACAGTGATTTTAACCCTAAACCCAAAAACCTTAAATCTTACCCTAGACCCGTGACCCGTGACCCAGGTATTACCTAAAGGAAGCCCTAACACCCAAAACATTTTTTTTTCATTTTTCATTTTTTTTGGTCTAACTAACTCCAAAAGGTCTGAAACATGTTCCTAAAAAGGTGTTGGACAGTGATTTAACCCTAATCCTAAAACCCTAAACCGAACCCTAGTCCCATAACCCAATACCCAGGTATTACCTAAAGGAAACCCTAACACCCCAAACAATTTTATTTTATTTTTCATTTTTTGTTTTCTAACTAACTCCAAAAGGTCTGAAACATGTTCCTAAAAAGGTGTTGGACAGTGATTTAACCCTAATCCCAAAACCCTAAACCGAACCGTAGCCCCGTTACGCAATACCCGGTTCTTACTCAAAAGCCCTAACAACCCCAAACATTTTTTTTGACATTTCTCATTCTTTTTGCTCTAATTAACTCAAAAACGTCTGAAACATGTTCCTAAAAAGGTCTTGGACAGTGATTTTAAGCTTAACCCCAAAAACCTTAAACCTTGCCCTAGCCCCGTAACCCAATACTTCCGTTAGTATTACCTAAAGGAAGCCCTAACAACCCAAAACATTTTTTTCTCATTTTTCATTGTTTTGGTCTAACTAACTCAAAATGGTCTGAATCACGTTCCTAAAAAGGTCTTGGAAAGTAATTTTAACCCTAACACCAAAAAGCTTAAACCTTAGCCTAGCCCCGTAACCCAATACTTCCTTTAGTATTACCTAAAGGAAGCCCTATCAACCCAAAACATTTTTTTTTTCAATTTTTGTTTTTTTTTTGGTCTAACTAACTCCAAATTTCTGAATCTTGCCCCTAAAATGGTCTTGGACAGTGATTTTAACCCTAAACCCAAAAACCTTAAATCGTACCCTAGACCCGTGACCCAATACCCAGGTATTACCTAAAGGAAGCCCTAACACCCCAAACATTTTTTTTCATTTTTCATTTTTTTTGGTCTAACTAACTCCAAAAGGTCTGAAACATGTTCCTAAAAAGGTGTTGGACAGTGATTAAACCCTAATCCTAAAACCCTAAACCGAACCCTAGTCACATAACCCAATACCCAGGTATTACCTAAGGGAAACCCTAACACCCCAAACATTTTTTTTAATTTTTAATTTTTTTCTTTCTAGCTAACTCCAAAAGGTCTGAAACATCTTCCTAAAAAGGTGTTGGACAGTGATTTAACCCTAATCCCAAAACCCTAAACCGAACCGTAGCCCCGTTACCCAATACCCGGTTCTTACTCAAAAGCCCTAACAACCCCAGACATTTTTTTTGACATTTTTCATTCTTTTTGCTCTAATTAACTCAAAAACGTCTGAAACATGTTCCTAAAAAGGTCTTGGACAGTGATTTTAAGCTTAACCCCAAAAACCTTAAACCTTGCCCTAGCCCCGTAACCCAATACTTCCGTTAGTATTACCTAAAGGAAGCCCTAACAACCCAAAACATTTTTTTCTCATTTTTCATTGTTTTGGTCTAACTAACTCAAAATGGTCTGAATCACGTTCCTAAAAAGGTCTTGGAAAGTAATTTTAACCCTAACACCAAAAAGCTTAAACCTTAGCCTAGCCCCGTAACCCAATACTTCCTTTAGTATTACCTAAAGGAAGCCCTATCAACCCAAAACATTTTTTTTTTCAATTTTTGTTTTTTTTTTGGTCTAACTAACTCCAAATTTCTGAATCTTGCCCCTAAAATGGTCTTGGACAGTGATTTTAACCCTAAACCCAAAAACCTTAAATCGTACCCTAGACCCGTGACCCAATACCCAGGTATTACCTAAAGGAAGCCCTAACACCCCAAACATTTTTTTTCATTTTTCATTTTTTTTGGTCTAACTAACTCCAAAAGGTCTGAAACATGTTCCTAAAAAGGTGTTGGACAGTGATTAAACCCTAATCCTAAAACCCTAAACCGAACCCTAGTCACATAACCCAATACCCAGGTATTACCTAAGGGAAACCCTAACACCCCAAACATTTTTTTTAATTTTTAATTTTTTTCTTTCTAGCTAACTCCAAAAGGTCTGAAACATCTTCCTAAAAAGGTGTTGGACAGTGATTTAACCCTAATCCCAAAACCCTAAACCGAACCGTAGCCCCGTTACCCAATACCCGGTTCTTACTCAAAAGCCCTAACAACCCCAAACATTTTTTTTGACATTTCTCATTCTTTTTGGTCTAATTAACTCAAAAACGTCTGAAACATGTTCCTAAAAAGGTCTTGGACAGTGATTTTAAGCTTAACCCCAAAAACCTTAAACCTTGCCCTAGCCCCGTAACCCAATACTTCCGTTAGTATTACCTAAAGGAAGCCCTAACAACCCAAAACATTTTTTTCTCATTTTTCATTGTTTTGGTCTAACTAACTCAAAATGGTCTGAATCACGTTCCTAAAAAGGTCTTGGAAAGTAATTTTAACCCTAACACCAAAAAGCTTAAACCTTAGCCTAGCCCCGTAACCCAATACTTCCTTTAGTATTACCTAAAGGAAGCCCTATCAACCCAAAACATTTTTTTTTTCAATTTTTGTTTTTTTTTTGGTCTAACTAACTCCAAATTTCTGAATCTTGCCCCTAAAATGGTCTTGGACAGTGATTTTAACCCTAAACCCAAAAACCTTAAATCGTACCCTAGACCCGTGACCCAATACCCAGGTATTACCTAAAGGAAGCCCTAACACCCCAAACATTTTTTTTCATTTTTCATTTTTTTTGGTCTAACTAACTCCAAAAGGTCTGAAACATGTTCCTAAAAAGGTGTTGGACAGTGATTAAACCCTAATCCTAAAACCCTAAACCGAACCCTAGTCACATAACCCAATACCCAGGTATTACCTAAGGGAAACCCTAACACCCCAAACATTTTTTTTAATTTTTAATTTTTTTCTTTCTAGCTAACTCCAAAAGGTCTGAAACATCTTCCTAAAAAGGTGTTGGACAGTGATTTAACCCTAATCCCAAAACCCTAAACCGAACCGTAGCCCCGTTACCCAATACCCGGTTCTTACTCAAAAGCCCTAACAACCCCAGACATTTTTTTTGACATTTTTCATTTTTTTTGCTCTAATTAACTGAAAAACGTCTGAAACATGTTCCTAAAAAGGTCTTGGACAGTGATTTTAGGCTTAACCCCAAAAACCTTAAACCTTACCCTAGCCCCTTAACCCAATACTTCCGTTAGTATTACCTAAAGGAAGCCCTAACAACCCAAAACATTTTTTTCTCATTTTTCATTTTTTTGGTCTAACTAACTCAAAAAGGTCTGAAACATGTTCCTAAAAAGGTCTTGGAAAGTAATTTTAACCCTAACCCCAAAAAGCTTAAACCTTAGCCTAGCCCCGTAACCCAATACTTCCTTTAGTATTACCTAAAGGAAGCCCTAACAACCCTAAACATTTTTTTTTTCAATTTTTTGTTTTTTTTTGGTCTAACTCCAAATTTCTGAATCTTGTCCCTAAAATGGTCTTGGACAGTGATTTTAACCCTAAACCCAAAAACCTTTAATCTTACCCTAGACCCGTGACCCAATACCCAGGTATTACCTAAAGGAAGCCCTAACACCCCAAACATTTTTTTTTCATTTTTCATTTTTTTTGGTCTAACTAACTCCAAAAGGTCTGAAACATGTTCCTAAAAAGGTGTTTGACAGTGATTTAACCTTAATCCTAAAACCCTAAACTGAACCCTAGTCCCATAACCCAATACCCAGGTATTACCTGAAGGAAACCCTAACACCCCAAACAATTTTTTTTATTTTTCATTTTTTGTGTTCTAACTAACTCCAAAAGGTCTGAAACATGTTCCTAAAAAGGTGTTGGACAGTGATTTAACCCTAATCCCAAAACCCTAAACCGAACCGTAGCCCCGTTACCCAATACCCAGTTCTTACTAAAAAGCCCTAACAACCCCAAACATTTTTTTTGACATTTTTCTTTTTTTTGGTCTAATTAACTCAAAAACGTCTGAAACATGTTCCTAAAAAGGTCTTGGACAGTGATTTTAAGCTTAACCCCAAAAACCTTAAACCTTGCCCTAGCCCCGTAACCCAATACTTCCGTTAGTATTACCTAAAGGAAGCCCTAACAACCCAAAACATTTTTTTCTAATTTTTAATTTTTTTGGTCTAACTAACTCAAAAAGGTCTGAATCACGTTCCTAAAAAGGTCTTGGAAAGTAATTTTAACCCTAACACCAAAAAGCTTAAACCTTAGCCTAGCCCCGTAACCCAATACTTCCTTTAGTATTACCTAAAGGAAGCCCTAACAACCCTAAACATTTTTTTTTTCAATTTTTGTTTTTTTTTTGGTCTAACTCCAAATTTCTGAATCTTGTCCCTAAAATGGTCTTGGACAGTGATTTTAACCCTAAACCCAAAAACCTTAAATCTTACCCTAGACCCGTGACCCGTGACCCAGGTATTACCTAAAGGAAGCCCTAACACCCAAAACATTTTTTTTTCATTTTTCATTTTTTTTGGTCTAACTAACTCCAAAAGGTCTGAAACATGTTCCTAAAAAGGTGTTGGACAGTGATTTAACCCTAATCCTAAAACCCTAAACCGAACCCTAGTCCCATAACCCAATACCCAGGTATTACCTAAAGGAAACCCTAACACCCCAAACAATTTTATTTTATTTTTCATTTTTTGTTTTCTAACTAACTCCAAAAGGTCTGAAACATGTTCCTAAAAAGGTGTTGGACAGTGATTTAACCCTAATCCCAAAACCCTAAACCGAACCGTAGCCCCGTTACGCAATACCCGGTTCTTACTCAAAAGCCCTAACAACCCCAAACATTTTTTTTGACATTTCTCATTCTTTTTGCTCTAATTAACTCAAAAACGTCTGAAACATGTTCCTAAAAAGGTCTTGGACAGTGATTTTAAGCTTAACCCCAAAAACCTTAAACCTTGCCCTAGCCCCGTAACCCAATACTTCCGTTAGTATTACCTAAAGGAAGCCCTAACAACCCAAAACATTTTTTTCTCATTTTTCATTGTTTGGTCTAACTAACTCAAAATGGTCTGAATCACGTTCCTAAAAAGGTCTTGGAAAGTAATTTTAACCCTAACACCAAAAAGCTTAAACCTTAGCCTAGCCCCGTAACCCAATACTTCCTTTAGTATTACCTAAAGGAAGCCCTATCAACCCAAAACATTTTTTTTTTCAATTTTTTTTTTTTTTTTTGGTCTAACTAACTCCAAATTTCTGAATCTTGCCCCTAAAATGGTCTTGGACAGTGATTTTAACCCTAAACCCAAAAACCTTAAATCTTACCCTAGACCCGTGACCCAATACCCAGGTATTACCTAAAGGAAGCCCTAACACCCCAAACATTTTTTTTCATTTTTCATTTTTTTTGGTCTAACTAACTCCAAAAGGTCTGAAACATGTTCCTAAAAAGGTGTTGGACAGTGATTAAACCCTAATCCTAAAACCCTAAACCGAACCCTAGTCACATAACCCAATACCCAGGTATTACCTAAGGGAAACCCTAACACCCCAAACATTTTTTTTAATTTTTAATTTTTTCTTTCTAGCTAACTCCAAAAGGTCTGAAACATCTTCCTAAAAAGGTGTTGGACAGTGATTTAACCCTAATCCCAAAACCCTAAACCGAACCGTAGCCCCGTTACCCAATACCCGGTTCTTACTCAAAAGCCCTAACAACCCCAGACATTTTTTTTGACATTTTTCATTCTTTTTGCTCTAATTAACTCAAAAACGTCTGAAACATGTTCCTAAAAAGGTCTTGGACAGTGATTTTAGGCTTAACCCCAAAAACCTTAAACCTTACCCTAGCCCCTTAACCCAATACTTCCGTTAGTATTACCTAAAGGAAGCCCTAACAACCCAAAACATTTTTTTCTCATTTTTCATTTTTTTGGTCTAACTAACTCAAAAAGGTCTGAATCACGTTCCTAAAAAGGTCTTGGAAAGTAATTTTAACCCTAACACCAAAAAGCTTAAACCTTAGCCTAGCCCCGTAACCCAATACTTCCTTTAGTATTACCTAAAGGAAGCCCTAACAACCCTAAACATTTTTTTTTTCAATTTTTGTTTTTTTTTGGTCTAACTCCAAATTTCTGAATCTTGTCCCTAAAATGGTCTTGGACAATGATTTTAACCCTAAACCCAAAAACCTTAAATCTTACCCTAGACCCGTGACCCGTGACCCAGGTATTACCTAAAGGAAGCCCTAACACCCAAAACATTTTTTTTTCATTTTTCATTTTTTTTGGTCTAACTAACTCCAAAAGGTCTGAAACATGTTCCTAAAAAGGTGTTGGACAGTGATTTAACCCTAATCCTAAAACCCTAAACCCGAACCCTAGTCCCATAACCCAATACCCAGGTATTACCTAAAGGAAACCCTAACACCCCAAACAATTTTATTTTATTTTTCATTTTTTGTTTTCTAACTAACTCCAAAAGGTCTGAAACATGTTCCTAAAAAGGTGTTGGACAGTGATTTAACCCTAATCCCAAAACCCTAAACCGAACCGTAGCCCCGTTACGCAATACCCGGTTCTTACTCAAAAGCCCTAACAACCCCAAACATTTTTTTTGACATTTCTCATTCTTTTTGCTCTAATTAACTCAAAAACGTCTGAAACATGTTCCTAAAAAGGTCTTGGACAGTGATTTTAAGCTTAACCCCAAAAACCTTAAACCTTGCCCTAGCCCCGTAACCCAATACTTCCGTTAGTATTACCTAAAGGAAGCCCTAACAACCCAAAACATTTTTTTCTCATTTTTCATTGTTTTGGTCTAACTAACTCAAAATGGTCTGAATCACGTTCCTAAAAAGGTCTTGGAAAGTAATTTTAACTCTAACACCAAAAAGCTTAAACCTTAGCCTAGCCCCGTAACCCAATACTTCCTTTAGTATTACCTAAAGGAAGCCCTATCAACCCAAAACATTTTTTTTTTCAATTTTTGTTTTTTTTTTGGTCTAACTAACTCCAAATTTCTGAATCTTGCCCCTAAAATGGTCTTGGACAGTGATTTTAAACCCTAAACCCAAAAACCTTAAATCTTACCCTAGACCCGTGACCCAATACCCAGGTATTACCTAAAGGAAGCCCTAACACCCCAAACATTTTTTTTCATTTTTCATTTTTTTTGGTCTAACTAACTCCAAAACGTCTGAAACATGTTCCTAAAAAGGTCTTGGACAGTGATTAAACCCTAATCCTAAAACCTTAAACCTTACCCTAGTCCCATAACCCAATACCCAGGTATTACCTAAAGGAACCCTAACACCCCAAACATTTTTTTCAATTTTTAATTTTTTTTTTTCTAGCTAACTCCAAAAGGTCTGAAACATGTTCCTAAAAAGGTGTTGGACAGTGATTTAACCCTAATCCCAGAACCCTAAACCGAACCGTAGCCCCTTTACCCAATACCTGGTTCTTACTCAAAAGCCCTAACAACCCCAAACATTTTTTTTGACATTTTTCATTCTTTTTGCTCTAATTAACTCAAAAACGTCTGAAACATGTTCCTAAAAAGGTCTTGGACAGTGATTTTAAGCTTAACCCCAAAAACCTTAAACCTTACCCTAGCCCCGTAACCCAATACCCAGGTATTACCTAAAGGAAGCCCTAACACCCCAAACTTGTTTTTTAATTTTTAATTTTTTTGTTTTCTAACTAACTCCAAAAGGTCTTAAACATGTTCCTAAAAAGGTTGGACAGTGATATTAACCCTAATCCCAAAACCCTACACCCAACCCTGGCCCTGTAACCCACAACCCAGGTCTTAGCTAAAGAAAGCCCTAACAACCCCAAATTCTTTTTTTGACATTTTTCATTTTTTTTGGTCTAACTAACTCCAAAAGGTCTGAAACATCTTCCTGAAAAGGTCTTGGACAGTGATTTTAAGCTTCACCCCAAAAACCCTAAACCATACCCTAGCCCCATAATCCAATGCCTGGGTCTTACCTTGAGGAAGCCCTAACACCCCAAACATTATTTTTTTCATTTTTGCTTTGTTTATGGTCTAATTCACTCCAAAAAGTCTGAAACATCTTCCTAAAAAGGTCTTTGCCAGTGATTTTAACCCTAATCCCAAAACCCTAAACCGAACCCTAGTCACATAACCCAATACCCGGGTCTTACCTAAAGAAAGCCCTAACAACCCCAAAATTTTTGATGATATTTTTCAATTTTTTTGGTCTAATTAACTCCAAAAGGTCTGAAACATGTTCCTAAAAAGGTCTTGGACAGTGATTTTAAGCCTAATCCCAAAACCCTAAACGTAACCCTAGCCCTGTAACCCAATACCCGGGTATTACCTAAAGGAAACCCTAACACCCCAAACATTTTTTTTTCATTTTTCGTTTTTTTTTTTTGTCTAACTCCAAAAGGTCCGAAATATGTTCCTAAAAAGGTCTTGGACAGTGATATTAAGGCTTAACCGAACACCCTAACCCTAACCTTAGCCTCCTAACCCAATACCCAGGTATTACCTAAAGAAAGCCCTAACAACCCCCAAATTTTTTTGGGACATTTTTCTTTTTTTTTGGTCTAATTAACTCCAAAAGATCTGAAACATGTTCCTAAAAAGGTTTTGGACAGTGACTTTAACCCTAGCCCCAAAAACCTTAAACCTTTCCCTAGCCCTGTAACCTGATACCCGGGTATTACCTAAACGGAGGCCTAACACCCCAAACATTTTTTTTTCTTTTTTTTTTGGTCTAATTAACACCAAAAGGTTTGAAGCATGTTCCTACAAAGGTCTTGGACAATGATTTTAACCCTAATCCTAAAACCCTAAACGTAACCCTAGCCCTGTAACCCAATACCCCGGTATTATCTACAGGAAGCCCTAACACCCCAATTTTTTTTTTTTGACATTTTTAAGTCTTTTTTGGTCTAACTAACTCCAAAAGGTCTGAAACATGTTCCTAAAAAGGTGTTGGACAGTGATTTAACCCTAATCCCAAAACCCTAAACCTTACCCTAGTCCCATAACCCAATACCCAGGTATTACCTAAAGGAAACCCTAACACCCCAAACATTTTTTTTAATTTTTAATTTTTTGCTTTCTAACTAACTCCAAAAGGTCTGAAACATGTTCCTAAAAAGGTGTTGGACAGTGATTTAACCCTAATCCCAAAACCCTAAACTGAACCGTAGCCCCGTTACCCAATACCCGGTTCTTACTCAAAAGCCCTAACAACCCCAAACATTTTTTTTGACATTTTTCATTCTTTTTGCTCTAATTAACTCAAAAACGTCTGAAACATGTTCCTAAAAAGGTCTTGGACAGTGATTTTAGGCTTAAGGCTCTCTGTCCTCTTCCAATCAAAGAACCTAAAATAGAAATAAGAGGAGACAGTGGGAATGAAGACAGTCTGAGAAAACTGCATGCATGCAGTCAGCTGATCAAAGTGTGCTTAATTTGGGGAAGGAAACCTTCCTAACAAAGGAAGCCAATTTAAATTGGATATATATCAGCTGAATATAGGGGAAACTGCAGTTGGTTGTGTGAGACCGCCTCACGCTGTTATATGTGTGAGACCGTTATATGTGAAGCTAGTAGACTGGGTGCAGAGAGGCACAAGGCCAGTAGTTGTGTGGAATTAGCTAGACTGGATGCGGAGCAGCACAAGGCCAGTAGTTGTGTGGAACTAGTTAGACTGGGTGCGGAGCAGCACAAGGCCAGTAGTTTGTGGAACTAGCCAGACTGGGTGCAAAGCGGCACAAGGCCAGTAGTTGTGTGGAGCAAGTTAGACTGGGTGCTAAGTGGCACAAGGCCAGTAGTTGTGTGGAACTAGTAGACTGGGTGCTAAGCGGCATAAGGCCAGTAGCTGTGTGGAGCTAATAGACTGGGTGCTAAGCGGCATAGGCCAGTAGTTTAGGGAGAGACCGGTGTATTAGAAGTTTTCCAGACTGGGTGCGAAGGAGCATAGGCCAGTAGTTGGGTGGACACCGGTCTGCAGACAGCCTGGCCCGGGTTGTGATGTGTTTTTTAGGCTGAATGCCTAGTGATAAGAGGATCTGGATAATTGTTGAGATAACAAGGGAAGCGGCAGGCACGAGTGTGTCTGTCCATTGTTGAATTGTGAGTTTTAGGTCATTCTTTTATGAGCTCTGAAAGGTGGTAGCCGACGGACGAGCAGATTCATCTATTAATACATACGTGGATTTTCTTTCTAGAAAACTCCACTAGAAAGGAGGATTTGTCATGCGGAGTTCCGCTGAGGCTTAAGAAACAGCCAAAAGGAGAACAAAAGTGGCATACTTCCTCAGAAATTCTGATCCAGACTCTAGAGGGCCGAATAAGTATAATGAAGGAATAGTACATATTTGAAATGTACATATATATATCTCTTTTATATATCAAAGGCCTCACAAAATCAGTGTTATAATTGGACTTAAATTATAGATACAGATTGGCTTGATGAGCAGGAGATAGTAAAAGAAGTCAAAATCTCTTGACCAATTGTAGAAGAATCACACAAATTGAAAAAAAAAATCACACAAATTGGAAAAATCAAAACAAGAATCAAGAATAAAAACTGAGGACTGACCCTCAACACAGGAATTGTAGGAATGTTAAAAAAGTACAAAACACTTAAAATGAGTTTAAAGTAAGAGTAAAGAAGGTGAAGACTACTGACTGACCCCAGTGACTGACTTTGACTTTAAACGCGTGTGAAAGGGCATACCATTGTGTGATGAAAAAGTGAAGTGCGTGGGTTGATTGGATGTTTGTGTGTGTCTGCCTTGCTCTGTGTCAACTAAGTTCTCTGGCAGTGTTCACAGCCAGACTCTGCATCTGTGTGTGTGTATTCAAAGATTGCTGTGTTTTCCTCACTTGTGTTTATTTCATAGTTGTTTATGTGAATACTGTGCTCACTGTGGACATGCTATCAGTTGAGACATAAAAGGTTAAATACTCCTGGGAAAGAGGTTCTGTTCCTAGTTTCATGATGAACACTCCTGATATGAAGGTTTTAGCTTGTGCTTGAATATTATGATGGTTTTTTGTTGTTAACACGTCTTATGCTCCTTAACAAATTTTCTGTGTTAAAGCTGCTGAAATAATGTTTATGAAAGTATAAAAGATACAAAAAGGGGAAAAAAGAAATGAGGTACCACGAGTGCAAAACTTCTAAAACTTCAAATCTAGGGGTTGCTTCTATACATCTGCTGTTTCTGCCAAAATACTGTTTTTTTAAATATTATTGAAGCTGTTAATACCAATAATGACTGCTAATGATTATAATGATAATAATGATTGCTGTGAGACTTCAGTTAATGCAAAAGCTTTACACTGTGTATTTTTGGAGAATCTTACAAAACCGCTGGGGATCAAGTTTTAATGTGTGTGTTAATTTGAAGAAGCGTTGAAGTGTTGAATGGTGACACAAGTTAAGATTGAAGTAGGGTGTGGCAGTGTGCTGTTTGAGTAGTGAATGTGTAAAAGACTGACAGTGAGAGTATTGTGGCTTTGATTGTGACATAGTTTTAAGCAAGGCAAGCTGGGAAAAATGGTGCGACATACAAAGAAAGATCCTAACTTTGTGTCGGGTCTGTTTTATTCTTTTTTTCCTTTTATCTGTGGCAATGGGTGACTGTGTGTTCTGGATTAGAGATCAGACAAAGGGTAACTGAAAGTGTTGAAGTGTGAAAAGGGTAACTGAAAGTTGTTAAAGTTGTGAAAAGGGACTGAGAAGGGTGTGAACATATCAACACGAAATTAAGAATTAAAATCAACAATAATGATAATAATAATTGATTTCTTTCCAAAAATAAAAACATAGCCAGAAATAAAACAAAAAGGTTTACAGGAACATTGCTGATCTAAGTTTTTAGAACAAAGCAATGCAATAGAAATAATAAGTTCTACAAAAACCATGATCAGAAAGGGAAGATTAGTTTAACTCCAATTGCATTGGTAGGGTGTAAAGATCCTGAACACTTAAATGATATCCAAAAACTTACAATAAAATGGGGACATTGAGTCAAGGGGCTCTATTTTCGTGTACGCCGGTGAGGCGACGGAGGGTGGCGGACCCCGCGCAGTTGTATTTTTGTCTGGCGTAGCCCAACGTACAGCCAGTTTGGTATTTTCGTGGCCTGAGGCGCATGATACGCCAAGCTGGGCGTGGTGGTGTGGCAGGGGGAGTTGTCGACAGAATTAGCGGCGCAGTGACATTTTCGTGCTCGCCAGTGGCGTGTAAAGTGTGCTGAAAGCTCGCCGATTCAAACCTGGCCAGCTTTCAGCTCAGGCGGAGCGCAGCTGGTCTCGTAGTATTTTGGTAGACCGGCGGCGTATCGGCATACGTCACACATGCCTCACTGGCAGGTTTCCACAGTGTCAGGCACATTTCAGTACAATAAATAATCATCAACAACTAATAATCTGAGTCAGCACATACATTTAGATCTATATAGATATATTCTGATCTATATGTGATCTGATGAGCGTGTTTGGCACGTTTTTGGACACACAACCTGACCAAATCAACACAGCTGAAACCGCATCAAATTAAATTAAATATCTAGTAAATAAACACACATGATCAAGTTAACTAGATATGTAATTCATCTCCCTCCTTTTCTTTCTTCCTCTTCCTCTTATTTCTCGCACAGCTCGACCTGGACACATCTACGTGTCCTCTCTCCGTCCTGCAGCGGCTGAACAGATGATTTGTTTCAGTGCTCAGATAAGTTATCTACTGTAAGCCGACATACGGATATTATATTCAGTTTTTTGAGGCAAATTTATTTTATATGCCAACGTCTATGAAAGATAGAGCCAGGCCACGGAGCACGATGCGTCATTTACACACAGATGGTTCCGATTTTAATGCCATTTTTGGAGTTTATGTTGTGATCTGTGCGCACAACCCACCTTTGTCACGTGAGGTTTGGATATATGCAACTTTATGTGAGTGTCTTTATTTGTGGAAAAGGGTGTTTGTCTTACCAGTGGGTCCAACATTACACACACGTAATCCATCTGTGCTCATATGAGAGAGTGTGGAGGACGCCCAATGCAGCGCTTAAAGCGACACTTGTTGAGGAGCTGCCATCTGTCGCCATCGTGTGACATTACTGTCTTCAGACATCTCTTGATCTCTTTGACTACTTCACGAAAAAAGTAATACGCCTCGCCTGTGGCGGATTTAAAGGCAAGGAGAACCAAAATGTGCTTGGGAACGCCTTGTCGGCGCGGCAGACCTGACTCATGCCGCGCCTGCGGCACCTCTCCGACGAGGCACGAATATAGAGCCCAAGGGGTTAGAATTTTATGACCTAGAGGAGGCACATCTGATGTGACTGTGTGTGAGGATTTGAAACAGCAAATTAAAGACCATTAACACAAAGATAAAAGTAAACAAGAGAAACAAAAACAAGAGATTTGGAACTAAAAGTACTGGTCATGTGCTAAAATGAAGGCCAACACTGTTTTATGAATAAATTAAAGATTGGGTTTACAGAGCTAGAAAGCAATAAGGAGGAGGTGGAGAAAAGAAAGTCACAAACATGGAAAATAGGTAAAACAGAAATGAAATTCTGCAGCCAAATCTAGTATCAGAACATGGAGGAAATTATCCTTCTCTGTTAGGGAAAGTTAATATAATAAGTGATTTTGAGTTTGCTGAGGGAGACAAAGCCCACTACAAACCTTTGCCTGATTCCCCGAAGTAATGATCATAGGTAATTGTTATGTGAATGATAATGCTGATAATGCTGAACAGTCATATTGGTTTAATCTGGGTAACAATAACATAGACTTGCCATGTCAACTTTGTCACCCAATAGTACAAGTAGTAGTAGCACAAATACTTCTCAGCTTAGGTAAGAAGCAGGGCCCGCAAATATCATGTGACCCTGCACAAAATATGATCTTAGATAAGGGCCAGATCACAGGTGTCGGGCTCAAGGCCTGGGGGCCAAATCTGGTCCATGGAACAATTATATCTGGCCCATAAAATCATATCATATTTGTATTATTATTGGCCCACCAGTATGAAGTCTGCAAATATTATGTGATTTCTTCCAGTATAATAATGTAAACTTCAGCACCTCTATTTAAAATGTCCTTAATAAGCCAGGAAAATCTGGGAAATTAAAGAGTAAGGAAGATTTGATAAGTGGTCAAGAATGTTAAAAAATCTATATTTGGTGTTTAATTTCATGTTTTCAATTTTGCATCTCAAGATTACAAGTCAAACATGATTGGATTTTCATTTCGTGCTTTGATTTCGTTCAACTCAGTATTTAGATTTGTGTCATTTTTATACTTTAGATTCCAGTTTTAAATTTTAAGTCATATTCTGACCTTTTGAACCTGATTTCAACGTTCTTCTTGTGTATTTGCTCTTTCAATGCATTATTTTTCTGTTTTTAATATCATGCTCTGATCTTTTGAACTGATAAGAATAGAATAAAAAACAAAAATTTTCTATCTTAGGTTGCCTTTAAATTTATTATTATTTTTTATTTATTTATCTCTTTTGAATTTCTAAATGATTCATAATCATTGCTATTTTTGTCCCATACGCTTTGAAAAGGAAATTGAACAGTTTTTGTGAAATGTTGACCCTCTTTGGCCCTGAGGTTAGACCTAAATCCAGATTATGGCCCTTGCTGTGGTTGCGTTTGACACCCCTGGCCTAGATCATGTTCACCTGAAGATACTCTGATAGTATGTTTTCAGTCTTAAAAATGGCACACAGGCTAGCTATGTGCCGTGGAAAACCATACACCTTGTTGGGCTGATTGCCAGACTACCACAAACTGAACAGGTGGATATCGGTTTTTGAGGATGAACTGTAGGGAGAATGTTGACTACACCAGAAAATGAAAGCTCTCTTGGCTCAACTGCTGGGAACCAAGACGATGGAGGAGTTTCTGGACAAGGCAAAACAAGGTGGGATGACGAATCCCATGATAGATGCGAGTGAGTCAATGCATATTGTGATGTGATGTGAAGGGTGCTGCCAAATGAAGAGTGGAGACTGAAAGAACAGGAAAAGAACATTCAGTGGAAGTTGATACAGCTACAGCTGGGAGACCTGCGAAGCAGAAACAAAATACAGACTCAGGCCGCAATGGTGGCCACCTCTAAGGAGAACACTGCAAAAGAGACCCAGCGATGCAGACCGTGCAGACGCTAACTGCAGTAAAACCTGCTACAGCAACCTGTTTAATCATATGTTGATTAAATGATGTTTATCCTCAGACAGAACCCTGCTCCATAGAGATGATATATCCCGGCAGGGGGAGAGAGTGGAATTCTGACAGATGTGTGACATCTAAAGGCCTGCTGGGGATGTGATTATACCGAACATTTTTGACAACTGCCCAGACCAGGGATGCCTCTGGCTGGAGATGTGGTGGGGGGCCCCAGCCCAGACAATGTGAAAGTGGTGGCTTACTACAGTGTGATTTCTGTGGATGATGGAAAGAGTTAATCGTTAGTTTTAATTTTAACCCCTGTTGACCTTATAGACCAAAAAGCCCTATGTAGAAGTAACATCCAAATTTGGTGCTCACTGCAAGGTGTGTACATAGACGGTTATGGTTTATAGTTTTTAAGTAAATATCTTGACCGAATATGCAAAGGTATATTAGCTGGGTCATATTGCTATAATAAAGTATATATTAAGGTTTAAATCCCAAATGTCCAGGTGTTATTGAAAGATGTTTTGCCCCATCATATAGTAAGATGTACTGAGCAGAGGTTGGATGAAAACATTATGGTGTGTCCTTAAGTCCAGTGTAACTGGACATGAGGCTGATGTTTGACCGTCATATTGAGTAAAATATCCTCTAAAGCGAGCAGCTAAGGAGGGAAGCAGAGTTTAACTGAGGGGCCTGCTAAAAACCGCAGTGCTAATTGAGATCTAGGGTGTAACATTTCTATTCTGTTATTTCAATACTGATAAATCCAAATACGGCTGTGCTGAATCCGCATACACTCCTCACAGATGTGTCATCTAATGTACAAGTATTGGGAAGCTATCAGAGGCCAATAAGGCCACAGAAAATGTTTAATAGTTAAATAACTATTTTGGTACCAGTAGTATTAACAAACAGTGATTCACACTGTGTAAGGGGGGAGATAATGAGACAATTAAAGACAAGACCAATAAAACATTAGTGGGACACTTTTCCAGTTCCAGAGGGACGCTTTTAGACATCCAATTATAGACAATGTGGACATGATTAAAACTGCCAAGGAAAATGTATGTTGGTAATGATGGCGGGTTCAGTCGATGGATAGAAGCAACACCATCAAGAGATCTTGGAGTCAAAATAAATCTGTCACTGCATGATTTGGTACATCATTTTGGGGAAGAAAGTTAATCCCTTAAGTAAATATTTGATCAGAAAATTTGCACTAACAATAACCTATAGGAAGATGCTTTGTTACTTGCGCTTATAAGCTTTCACAATCAAAAGCACTGTGATGAATCTTTCACTGCATGAATTGCTAACTTACAAAGCTATGCTTTACTGCGGCTAAATAATTAAGTTTTTCGCTTGAGCAGCTGAAAAATTTAAGTGAATTAAATATATGAGGCAGCTAACTACGATGCAAAGATCTATCGATTAGCAGGAGGAATGCCTAAATCTGATCCCAGTCAAGAGGTGGAGGCCAGTCGAGCCAGACGACCAGGTGTACATCAACGTCCTTTGAGGAGAGTGGCACAAAGAACGAGGAGAAGACCTGAACACTGTGGTCCTGGTGACATCTTACTTCAGTGCAGGAAGAGGGCAATATGATGTGGCGTCATCTACCGCTGACTGCCCAGAAAAACAAGGAAGTATGACTTGATAAGAGACACTACCAAAATGACTGTGCAACTCGTCCTGAAAGTAACTGTTTTCCTGGTGTTGCTGCTGAGGGACAATATGTGGAGAGAGACTGAGAGAGAGACTAGAGACAATGAAGAAAGGTGAAGGTCAAACTGGTGCCAGTACAGCTGTGAGAAGAAGTCAGAGACATTGTCATCGCGGGTGAGTACGATGCAACCCAAACACAATCCACACCACTCCAGACAGTGCTAGAACCCATGCCAACATTCACAGATTATTACAGATTTACAATTAGGTTAAGGAAATCAGATAAATAAAATTAAAAAGATTTTTTTTTTTACAGATAATCGGAAACAAGTACATAAGAAAATGAAGAAAGAGAGTGCTACACATTAAGTAGATCTGATATATTGAAGGAAAGGTTACAGATAAATTTATCACATAGGAAGTAAAGAGAATGTTTAAAAGTCATGTGAAAATAAAATAACAACTGGAGGTGGTAAATGGGGAAGAGATTTTTGCCAGATTGTGACAAATAAGAGAAGAACTGTTTTTTAAATATTTTTTTAACCTAAAGTTAAGCATTTATGTGAAAGAAATTATTGTTTTATTTGATTTGTTAATTATTCAGTGAAGATGTTTAGATTAAAGGATATTTACATGTAACAAGTCCACTAACATGACAGTACAGACAGCATTAAATTGGGCATTTGAAGAGAAAAGAGTGTGTTCAAGATTTGGAAAGTAATGTTGCAGATAAATTTCTAACAAAACAAGCCCCTTGTATAGAAAAGCTAAAAGTGGAAATGCGGGAGAATGCTGGTAAGGGGGGCCTGTTGATGGACTGGTTGGTCCAAATTTTAGATGAATGACAGCCGTTTTGGCCCAGCCATGAGTGCTGCGATAGCTCTAATTCTGATTTCCTTTCTCACATGTTGCATCGTACACATCCTTTGGAGACAATGTTGGAAGCTGACGGAGGAGATGGGACTTATGGTGGACCTAACACTGGCCCATGAACTACAGGGGATGCCACCAAAACAGCTGGCACAGTGTGTGATTAATCAAGGAGGGACTGAGGGACCTGAACGGTTCCTGGACTTTGAAGGAGACGATGATGAGCAATGGACTTTAAGCAACACAAACAACATATCCAGTGAGCTAGGATAATGAACTGAACATGTTTCATTCGCAGAGTTAAAGGACTACACTAATCACACATTGATCCTGGAGTTAATCACATACTAATCAAGGGGTTTGTCGCAGGTTGCTACAATGTAATGTAATGGTATTATCAGAAGTTGACACTTTTTCTATGCAAATGAAATTATGTCAGCGCATCCAGGAAATGGATGGTCGCCAGGGCGCGGGGCCGTAAGATTCTTTCCCTGCTGAAACAGCCTGGCAGGGTTTTCAGTCTTATGCGCGGATATAATTTGAAATGATCCTAGTTATGGTATGATGGTGGAGAAATTGAACATCGAAGTAAGACATTATTCAACCCAATGAACATTGATTCTTACAATTCTTGAGAATTGATATCACAATTTTATAACTTTTGCATAATTGGAGGAATTATGTCACGATTCTATAAGGTTGCATAATTCATTTAACTGGTTAATGCATTTTGATTTTTGTTTCATGCCATATATTATTAAGTCTTAGATGCAGCAAATCATACACATAGCATTTAGAATTTATTGAACATGTTTTATTTTAATCACTTAAGGATGTTAAGTGTTTGATATGATGATCAGGGTTTTATGAAAGTAAGAACTTTCAAAGGGGGGACTGTGTAAGAGAATCTCTTCATACATTTAGGTTAAGAAATATAGAGTAATTGTCTTTTAGTAAGGAGCTACAAATAATCTAGTTTGGCCTGCTCATGCAGCCTCATGACCGTGAGGTTGCAAGCAAGGCTGTCTTGCAGGAGCCCGAACTATCTGTCTGTTGGAACATTTAATCTCTGTGAGAGTTAAGACTAGTCTAAACAAAGAGTTGAGGGTCAGAACAGTATGACATACCCATGATGACAGAATAAACACACACACACACACACACCTAACAGCATAAAAGGGAGTAGAAGAAAAGCTAAGGAGGTTTCCTTCGGTCTTGTTCAAGACTGTTTGTCATCTGTACTGATTTCTACATCTGTACAATAAAAGAGGCCCAGGCTGTTCTTCAGATATCATCCTGTCTCCTGTGCATTATTTATGCTGGATTTTCCACAACACCCCGTAACCCAATACCCTGGAATTACCTGGAGGAAGCCCTTACACCCCCAAATACTTTTTAAATTTTTTTTTTTTTTTTTGTTCTAATGAAGTACAAAAGGTTTGAAACATGTTCCTCAAAGGTTTTTTGACAGTGATATTAACCCTAACGCCAAAAACCTTAAATCTTACCCTGGCCCCATAGTTCAATACCCGGGTATTATCTAAAGGAAGCCCTAACACCCGAAACATTTTTTTTTTTCGTTTTTTTTTGGTCTTACTAACTCCAAGAGGTATGAAACATGTTCCTAAAAGAGTCTTGGACAGTGATTTTAACCCTAACACCAAAAACCTTAAACCTTACCCTAGCCCCGTATCCCAATACCCGGATATTATCTAAATGAAGCCCTTACACCCCAAACTTTTTTCTATTTTTCATTTTTTTTGGTCTAACTAACTCAAAAAGGTTTGAAACATGTTCCTAAAAAAGTCTTGGACAGTGATTTTAACCCTAACCCCAAAAACCTTAAACCTGACCCTAGCCCCGTAACCCAGTACTAGGGCGTTACCTAAAGGAAGACCTAACAACCCAAAATTATTTTTTTCATTTTTCCTTTTTTTCTGTCTAACTAACTCCAAAAGGTTGGAAACATGTTCCTATAAAGGTTTTGGATAGTGATCTTAACCCTAACCCCAAAAACCTTAAACCTTACCCTAGCCCTGTAACCCAATACCCGGGTATTACCTAAAGGAAGCCCTAACACCCCAAACATTTTTTTTCATTTTACGTCTTTTTTTCTAGTCTAACTAACTCCAAAAGGTTGGAAAAAATTCCTTAAAAGGTTTTGGACAGTGATTCTGACCCTAAACCCAAGAAACCTTAAACCTATGAGGAAACCTAAAGGAAGCCCTATCACAGAAAAAAAAAATTATTGACATTTTTCAGGTTTTTTTGGTCTAACTAACTCCAAAAGGTATGAAACATGTTCCTAAAAGAGTCTTGGACAGTGATTTTAACCCTAACACTGAAAACCTTAAACCTTACCCTACCCCCGAAACCCAATACCCTGGGTATTAACGAAAGGAAGACCTAACACCCCAAAAAAGTTTTTTGACATTTTAAATTTATTTTTGGTCTTATTAATGTAGCAATCAAAACAACCCTGTATGTGAAATTCACACATTCCTCGCAGGAAAGTTTTCCTATCTGGTCCCAGGACACAGGATATAAATCTTTCCAGACTTGTTTGCACTTTCAGGTTACCTAACTGACCCGACCGGAGTTTGACCAAACCTCTGACTCTTCACGATTGGTCAATTCGGAGAACAGAGACAGAGTTTTATTACCTTTCAAACTGACTCCATTGCTGACCATCTAAATGAATAATAACACCTCAACCCAGATCTCCCATTTGAGATTTACCGTCTTAAAGTGTGTGAACATACGGACCCCAAGATAAGGGGGGACACTGACCTCCAGACCTCGGTCGTAAAACCCTGCTCAACCATGTACTGATAAAAACTGCATTCCTTTGGTGAAAGAATACAAATGACTGATCATGACATCTTATGCATTCAGCAATGTACTAATCCGTCTAATAATGAAATTTGTGTTAAAATGCGATGTTTCCCGTTTTTCTATGTGCTCCAGAAGCCAAGTTATCACTCCGACAGAATAAATCCTTTATTCTTTAGTTTCTTTAGACCAACAGCTTTTCAGACTGTTTCATGAACTTTTAAGAGTTAAATTTATTGACTATGAATAATAACCTTACTCTAAGTAACAGAAATGGTTTAGAAATGTTTGGTTCATATTTTAGTTGTTTATTTCGTATTTTAACCATTAGGTGGTTATAATGTCATTGAATAATCTGAATGTGAGTATTTAGAATCCATTACTAATCATGGTGAAGTTCATTCACTTGTGTTTACTCTTTTGTTGTTCACAGTTTCTGTGTGTACTATCTGTTTCATTTCAGAATAATTTGGCATGTTCAATGTGATACTTAAAACATAATGAGAATGTTTGATGTGATCCTACATTTCATTCATATGTGTTTAGTATCAAATTATTTATCATGAAACCAAGCATTCAATGATATTAATCGTAGTGAGTGAGTATCAGTTCTGACTCTTTTACCAGCCAAAAGTATAAGTGAGATCAAATAATCAGAGATCTGAGGTCTCCTTTGCTTGGAGACCACATGACCCCCTCCTCTTTCTCCTCACACACACGCCAGAGACACTCCCAGTGTGAGAAGATAAAACCAGTTGAGTGGGGTTGCTCACTCTCTTGTGCCGCGCTCTTCTCCCTCTTCTCCCCTTTTCGCTCTTCTGTCCACACCCTTCTGTGGTCCTCTTCTTTGTTTTCTCTTAGAACTTTTCCTTAGTCTTCTAAGTTTTACACCATGTGTTGATTCACATTGATTTTTCTTTAACATCGTCTTAGTTCAAGTTTTGAAACTTCAACTTTTTGTGCGCATAGCAATTCAAGATTAAGCCTTTGATTGAATTTTCTTTAATTTCGCGAAGCCATTTTTGAAAATTATCTCTGCTCATCAAACCTCATTTTTCTGAGTTATCTGCGTGATTTCTAAGTCACCTCTGAACGCAACCCAGCAGGCCCAGGTCATCCTCTGTGCCAGAGTTTTTGAGTGAGACCAAAGAAGCATCCAAACGAGCATCCACAGGCGCCGGCTTTACTTCAGGCCCGAGTGCTACAACTCCTGGCCCATTCTTCGGCTGACTTCAGTCGTCTTCTGAGCTGAAACGCTCGAACCGCCGGTAGCCCCGGACCTTCGGAACCTGTTCCATCTTCTCCAAGGACCAGTCTCACTTAAGTATGCAAACCTCCAGAGCTCCAAACAGGGCTGATGCTGTCTCATGCATTCATAACTCAGATATCCACTTATTCTGGTAATCTTAGATTCCTCCAAATCCACATCAGAGTTTATCTCGACACCAAAGTTAGTGTAGGTTAATATGTTAGAGCATATTCACTCACTATCATTAATTTTAGTGCTCCTAGCCTGACTCAGAATCTTTATTTATTCACCTATTTTTATTTATCCTCATTATCTTATCATCATTTATTGCATGTATGTTGTACCATCATTTATCCTGTAATAAACAGATCATTATTTTTCAAAGTTCTTGTCTGTTAGTGTTTTTCTTGAAGTGGAGTCCCTGAAATGAGAATTTCGGCTTAAGATATGAGATTGATTAATTAATGATTGACTTGATGTTTGATTTCTGAATTAAACTTTAGTTTTCTTTATTTTCCCACCATTACGGGTGGGTGGTGCCCCTTTCAACGAGTGCATAAATGTCATAACTTGAGATTATTAATCTCCAGACATTTATTATAAATTCAAATCACTACATTAACTCCAAAAGGTCTGAAACATGTTCCTAAAAAGGTTTTGGACAGTGATTTTAACCCTAACCCCAAAAACCTTACACCTTACCCTAGCCGTGTAACCTAATACCCGGGTAGTGCCTAAAGAAAGCCCTAACACCCCAAACATTTTTTTTTTTTGATTTTTCGGGTTTTTTGGTCTAATTTACTCCAAAAGGTTTGAAACATGTTCCTAAAAAGGTCTTGGACAATGACTTTAACCCTAACCCCAAAAACCTTTAACCTTACTCTAGCCCCGTAACCCAATACCCCGGTAGTACCTAAAGGAAGCCCTAACACCCAAAGACATTTTTTTTTTCTTTTCATTTTTTTTTTTTGGTCTAACTAACTTCAAAGTTTTGAAAAATGTTCCTAAAAAGGTCTTGGACAGTGATTTTAACCCTAACCCAAAAAACCTTAAACCTTACCCTAACCCCTTAACCAAATACCCGGGTACGACCTAAAGGAAGCCCTAACACCCCAAATTATTTTTTTTTTCATTTTTCTTTTTTTTCGTTTTTTCTTGTTCTAAGTAACTCAAAAGGTTTGGAAAAAAGTTCCCAATAAGGTTTTGGACAGTGGTACTGACCCTAATACCAAAAACCTTCAACCTTTCCCTAGCCCTGTAACCCAATACCCGGGTATTACCTACAGGAAGCCCTTACACCACAAAAAATTTTTTTTCTATTTTTCTTTTTTTTGGTCTAACTTAATCCAAAAGGTCTAAAACATGTTCCTAAAAAGGTGTTGGACAGTGATTTTAACCCTAACGCCCAAAATCTTAAACCTTACCCTAGCCCCGTAATCCAATACACAGGTATTATCTAAAGGAAGCCCTAACACCCCAATTATTATTTTTTTCATTTTTCATTTTTTTTATTTGGACTAACTAACTCCAAAAAGTCTGAAACATGTTCCTAAAAAGGTCTTGGACAGTGATTTTAACCCTATCCCCAAAAACCTTAAACCTTACCCTAGCCCCGTAACACAATACCCGGTTATTATCTTAAGGAAGCCCTAACACCCCAAACCTTTTTTTTTTTCATTTTTCGTTTTTTTTCTGGACTAACTAACTCCAAAAGGTCTGAAACATGGTCCTAGAAAGGTCTTGGACAGTGATTTTGCCAAAAACCTTAGACCTTACTATTACGGCCGCCGCCTTAGTGTGGCAAATCTTGGGTCTTCCCTGGAGCCACTTGGAGGAGTGGATAAAACGCCAGCAGACCTGCAGATCAGGGAGCACGCTGTAACCAGTGGAGCTCCCATGCCTGTTTCTCAGACTTAGCGTCTTTGTGATTTGGGACTTTCGTAGCTTTGTGAGGCATATTATTTTTGCACATGCCTAGCTTCTTTCCTTTTGTACTCAGCACTAGAGCTGAGTTGTCGTATTTTATTTCTTTTCTTGCCCTATGTGAGCAGATCTTTTACTTTGCTGTGAAATTAACTCTAGGTTAGAGTCTTCTTGTGTTTTTGGCAACCTGTTAAATCTCCTTTAAGGCCTTTGCTGCCTCTCTTTTTTTGTTATTGCCAATTTTAGCTTTTGTTAATAAATAACTTGAATTGATCACTTAACATCTGGTTGTTTTTATGTTGCTTCCCTTCTCCTCTAACGAGCTGGTAGTAACATAAATGGGGTCTCGTCCGGGATCTTAATCTGTTAAAGGAGACCCGGAATTTCGAAAAGTTATTGTTAATAAAGGTAAGATTATTGTGTGTGTGCTTAGGTAGGTAAAATGGCATCTTTTGATCTTGACAGCTTCTTGGTAAATCCGTCGCTTGATCAGATTAATAAGTGCAGAAAGGATAATTTGGTCAAGATAGCTGTGCACTTCAATGTCCTGTTTGCCAAATCAATCCTGAAAAAAGAATTAAAATCTCTAGTCATAGGTAAGTTGGTGGAATTAGGTTTAATTGTTTTGCCGGTGCTCCCTGAGTCACCTGTGTGCGCACCTGGGTCTGAGGCTGCGGCTGATTACCCTGCACAAAGGCTAGTTCAGTGAAGTGTGTGCTCAGCCCAAAACTCCCTTTATCTTGCCTCGCTACGATCCTCCCTCCTCATTCAGCACTGATTCTCTGGGTGAGGCCAGACTGAAAGTCAGGCTGGCACGACTCCAGATGGAGGCCCAGGAGAAAGCCGAGAGCCGGCAAGCAAAGCTGAGGCTCGAGATCCGGGAAATGGAGATCGAGGCCGATAAAGCAGTCCGACTACGTCAGCTGAAGCTAGAAGCTCAGCTGAAAGCAACTCCGGCACTGGATGCATCTGCAGATGCAAGAATTTCACCTCCTTCCACCAGCTCTACCTTAGAGTCCTTTGACATTGGTAAGCATATTTCTCTTGTTCCACCATTCAGAGACTCTGAAGTTGACAGCTATTTCCTGGCATTTGAACACATTGCGACTGCACTTCAGTGGCCTTATGATGTGTGGCCACTACTTCTTCGATGTAAGATCCACGGTAAAGCACAAGAAGCTGTAGCTGCTCTACCTTTAGCGGAGAGCTGAAACTATGAAAATGTGAAGATGTCTATTTTACGTGCCTATGAATTAGTCCCTGAAGCTTACAAGCAAAGATTTCGGAACCACACAAGGGGCCCTGAACAGACGTATGTTGAGTTCGCAAGGGAAAAAGGAACCCTCTTCGATAAATGGTGCAATGCTAGTAAAGCTGCTGATTTCAGTTCACTCCATGAACTAGTACTTCTGGAAGAATTTAAGAAATGTCTGCCAGAGCGCATTGTTGTGTATCTAAATGAACACAAAGTTTCATCTCTCTCTGCAGCTTATGTACTGGCTGACGAATTTGTGCTAACCCACAAACCTGTGTTCCTGTCTGCTTATGAAAAGCCTCGTGCTCCGGCACCACAGAGTGGACAAGCCAGAGTGTTCCAAAGAAGAGATGAAAAAAGTTGTAACTATTGTCATAAAACTGGACACCTCATTGAAAACTGCCCCTCCTTAAACAGGAAAAAACAGAATGGTAACGGATTGCCCCCTAAAGGCGTTGGGTTCATTAAATCTGAGACGTGTAGAATCTAATGCTGTTTCTTCTGTTTGCCCATATCCATGTTTTGAGCCATTCATTTTCGACGGGTATGTATCTCTGACAGGTAAGACTGCTGATCAGTGCCCAGTACGCATTTTGAGGGACACCGGTGGCTCTCAATCTGTTAGACTGGCTAGTACATTGCCATTTTCTGAAAAGTCTTTTTTGTGGTTACAGTCCCTGTATTGGATGACCTATCCCTGGGAAAAGCTGTCCCCGAAAATGTCTCAGATTTAAGCGTTTCATGAATGAGAGCAAAAATGTTGCGTGTGGGCTCGAACAACGGTTATTACAGTAGCCGAATAGGTAGGAAGCACAAGTTAGCAGTCCTGAACAACAGTTCTTACGGGGGTTATTACAAGGGGCATGTGCTGCTACTAAATAGTACCGAGACTTTGTCTGTGATCACGCAGCCCCTGCACCGCCGCCGCCGCATCGAATATCATTACAGACATCTGGGCACCTTACTTTAGCACACATTAGCATATGCTATTAGCATTAGCATAATAACAATGGATAAACCGAAATCCGAACCTCCACTGCTGAGCCAATCAGAGCACAGCAGGCTTCACGTTTTTTAGGCATACTAAAACAAACCATCAAATAACTTTTCAGCTAAAATTATGTTGCAAACATGATCAGAGGACATCAAGGATTATGAAAAAATGATAAAAATGGGTATGAAATTTTGGTGGCAGGTCCCCTTTAAGGGGAGGGGTGTTACAGCCGCCGCCATAGTGTGGTAAATCTTGGGTCTTCCTTTGTGTGTATATGTGTGTGTGTGTGTGTGTGTGTGTGTGTGTGTGTGTGTGTGTGTGTGTGTGTGTGTGTGTGTGTGAGTGTGAGTGTGCCTGTGTGTGCGTGCTGCCTGCAGCAATCAGGTTGCCGTAGCTGCAGATGGAATTAAGTGCCTGATCACCTCCACCCGGAGACGGCAGAGACTGACTAGCTGAAGGCTTCCACCAATTGTGAGGAGCCACTTGGAGGAGTGGATAAAACGCCAGCAGACCTGCAGATCAGGGAGCACACTGTAACCAGTGGAGCTCCCATGCCTCTTTCTCAGACTTAGCGTCTTTGTGATTTGGGACTTTTGTAGCTTTGTGAGGCATATTATTTTTGCACACGCCTAGCTTCTTTCCTTTTGTACTGAGCACTAGAGCTGAGTTGTCATATTTTATTTCTTTTCTTGCCCTATATGAGCAGATCTTTTATTTCGCTGTGAAATTAACTCTAGGTTAGAGTCTTCTTGTGTTTTTGGCAACCTGTTAAATCTGTTTTAGAACTTGAGTTTGTGTGTTTGTTGAACTTTAGTTTGTGGCGTGTTTGAACTTGAGTTTGTGATGTTTTTGAAGTTGAGGTTGTGGCAATTGTTAAACTTGAGATTTGGGTGTTGGTTGAACTTCAGATTCAGTGTTGTGGTGTTTTAGAACTTGAGATTGTGTGTTTGTTGAACTTGAGTTTGTGGCGTGTTTGAACTTGAGTTTGTGGTGTTTTTGAAGTTGAGGTTGTGGCAATTGTAAAACTAGAGATTTGGGTGTTGGTTGAACTTCAGATTCGGTGTTGTGGTGTTTTTGAACTTGAATTTGTGTGTTTTTTGAACTTGAGTTTGACGCAATTTTTGAACTTGAGTTTGTTGAACTTGAGTTTTTGGCAATTGTTAAATGTGAGTTTAGGTCATTTGTTGAATTTGAAATTTTGGCATTTTTTGAACTTAAGATTGTGGTGTTTGTTGAACTTGAGTTTGTGGCGTGTTTTTGAACTTGAGTTTGTCTGTATGTTGAAATTGAGTTTTTAGCGTGTTTGAACTTGAGTTTGTTTTGTTTTTTAACTAGAAGTTGTTGCAATTGTTAAACTTGAGATTTGGGTGTTGGTTGAACTTCAGATTTGGTGTTGTGGTGTTTTAGAACTTGAGTTTGTGTGTTTGTTGAACTTGAGTTTGTGGTGTGTCTGAACTTGAGTTTGTGGTGTTTTTGAAGTTGAGGTTGTGGCAATTATAAAACTAGAGATTTGGGTGTTGGTTGAACTTCAGATTTGGTGTTGTGGTGTTTTTGAACTTGAATTTGTGTGTTTTTTGAACTTGAGTTTGTTGCAATTTTTGAACTTGAGTTTGTTGAACTTGAGTTTTTGGCAATTGTTAAATGTGAGTTTTGGTCATTAATTGAATTTGAAATTTTGGCATTTTTTTAAACTTAAGATTGTGGTGTTTG